CAAACAGTAATTGTAAAAATCATGAAATAAGTATTATTTAATACATTTATTTTTATTTACTTTATGTATAATGTATACATTTAGACGTAATGTATAAGAAGTGGTTTTGTGTTTACCTACATCAATAACATTGGGGCTAAAATTTAGATCAGATCTGCCTCATGGCAGAGAGAGAGTTATTCCCTATATATTGTTACGAATCTCCCTATCCAGGCTCTCTATGCAAACTGCACCATACAACACCAACTTAAAGAACTTGACAAGTCAGGGCTCCAGAGTAACGTAACACTTGAATAGTTGAATAATTAACAGCCAATACTGTACAATTGGCAGCAGTACACTGTACAAATATCTCTCCGATAACACCGTACCGCCGTATCAACTCTTGCACTGGCCTCCCGTCTCGTTCCGGGCTTGCACTGGGTTTAACAGTTCAGGACTGACTTCACACACTAGGCTTTTTGTGTCGGACTCGATCACAGACCAAGATCAAGACGCCTTCTAGAACCGGACGGAACATCGCTCGACGTTTCTAGCTTCGTCACATGACTATATCTCTCGTGACGCCCCTGAGCTCTGTTCACGATGGCGATCCTTCCCCAACCGTCCTGTTGACACTCGTCTCGGCTGACCGTCGTAACACGTCAAGGTTGACCGCTCTAGCGCTGGCCTGGGGCCATTTGCGTCGGCTGACTACACTCACACCACTACCCCTATCTGTGCCACCACAAGGTTTATAACAATATACATGCAAGATTAATTCCAATAAGCAATCAATCTATTATTTGTAGGCTAATTACTGTATTGCCTCCAGTCTGCGCAGAGTATTTTTAAAGTTAAAATTGGCACGCGCAGTCCACAGAAGTCTGAGACGGCTGTGAACAACAGATAGCCATTATAAAGGCTATAGAAACTTCATCATGACGGCATATGGTTTAAACAGGTATTTATGTCCATATGCCAATGTTGATATCTAAAGAGAATATCAATAAACAAAATGTATACTTACATATACATGTAGAAATGAAATATAGATAGAAATATGAAATATATACTGATAAGTCCTATAACTCAACTCTAATGTTAAAACCTTATTTCAAGGCTAGAAATGACGAGCCTATTTTCAAAAAGAGCAAATGAAAAATAAAATAAAGTGAAAGATGATCGTCAGGAGTTATCAGCGGCCTGATTATAAGTAATGAAATTGTCCTCATCTCTTAAATGATTTCCACTACTTCAACAACACCTTAGCCTTTAATGATAAGTTATCAGCGGCATGGTCATACGTTTTCTAATCGTTCTCATATTTCAAAAGATTTCCACTACTTCCACCACATCTAGGCCTTTGATCATTACATCATGCGCAGGATGATATTATAATATTACATTACTCACATTCAATAGAAGCGCTCTAGCTATTTACAATAATGTAAAGTGGAAGGGAAAACACTATAAACGCATTAGTAACATGTCACAAAATGTCTAAAAGAATTCTACATAATTATGTTTATATATTAAATGAAATCTGAATAAAGAATAGATTTAAAAATATTTAATTAGGGATGAAATCACTGGAGATGAAATGAACAGTGATAGGTAGAGGTCAACGTATGACCCCGGCGAGATGACACAGCAGCGAGTGTTCTCTGGAATGTACATGTATAAACAAAGACAGGATGTGACGTGTCCTTACGTGTTATTTCAGAAGGTACTAGCGATGTCCAGTGACAGATAGAGGTTACAACTTGTAACACTGCAGCCGATGTTTTCTGGAATCTACATGTATAAACAAAGACAAGATGTGAGGTTTCCTCACGTGTTGTTCCAGATGCTACTAGCAGTGTTTGTGCAACTTTGGATGAGCGATTAGGAACTCTATATAAGCCAGAGAGTTAATGTGAAAGTCAGTCGTGAGTGAGCCGTTACAGTCGATACAGTCAATGTAAGACGTGTGCGGCTCTGATTCGATAGACCAGAGTTTGACTTGGTTCAGCTTTGGGAGACCTGTAGCGACACTGGGAAGTGTGTCGTTGGTCTGTTCTGTGGAATACGGCTCGATGCAAGTTGAGAAGAGATGAATTGCAACGAAGTATAGCTAACTGTAAACTGACAGATATTGTACAGTCTCCTACGCTACATATTACAGTGAGGAATTGTTAGAGTTAATAGTCATTAAAGTTATATGAAACTGAAAGTTGAGTCGTCAAGTTCTTTGCAGTGTTTTTATTTGTATGCCTACTAATACATTTAGCCAGAAGATTCAGAAATACGTAACAATATATATAGTTTAAATCCCACTACAAACCTCAGTAAATGTCACCGCGTTATTTTGAATGGTGACATTGGGTTCACATTATAATGTTACAATTTATGCGTGGTATATGACAGCATGATTCCTGTTTGATGACATCAATTGTATCATTGTCCGACTAGATTTTGTGACATGCCCTATAGATCCAGACTTAGAAGATGGCTCCCAAAATGTTTCTGAACGTCTATTTATTTATATTAGTCTTTAATGAAAACATGCCTGAATCATAACACTCTGACTAGACAATCAATAAAATATGATGGCAGAGATTTTAACACACTAAATAATCTACGTCAGGAGAGCTAATCCATCCGGCAAATCAAAGTTACATTTTCGGTGGCTGCTCTATACAATGGTAGTTTTGATTGAAACTTTCGTTTTTCTTTTTTGTTTTTGTTTTCTTCGGAACCTTAAATTTGAGACTTTATTCTATTGTTATCTAATGTCAAAAATAATTGTAAAAAAGACTTCGTTGAGCAATTTTTTTTCAAAAGAGAGAAGAGTAAACATTTCAACTTTACGTTTTAGATATGAAGAGATGTTTAAATGTGTGTGCAGCTTACGGTTTCTAGAGATAAATCAGATGCAATTATCCCTTGAGTTTCAAGCATACCAGATTGAACCAACACAAACAAAACTAGAGCTGTTGATAGAAAAAACTTATTTTAACAGTGCGCAAATCTTTAATTCTTTTTGACATTGCGTTTCTTGAAAGATCTTTTATTTTTTCAGAACTAGTTAATTTACTGACAGTAGCAATAGTACACATAAAAACAATTATTGTTGGAATAATCATTAATAAATATTCATTAAAACATTTAAGTAAAAATAAATAAAATAGTTAAAATTATTTAAGAAAAAAAGTGCTTGCATAACGTTGTGTAAATGTTATGTTATCAACAATCGCAAAATCTAAATATGTTATGCAAAAAATATATCATGTTTCCTAGCATAAATATGATGACAATGGTAGCACATTTTATTCTGAAAGCTGTAACTATTCTCCCGACCTGAAATGGGAAACAAACAGCTATCATTCTTTCTACAGATAATATTGATACAAAATTTTTATGCAATGAAAAATCTGATAATAATATAAATTCATTGAATATGATAGATAAATATAAAAAAAAGACAATATTTTAAAAATGATGATAAACTGTCAGAATGGCAAAGATTAAATCAGATACAGATAAAAAAAAGTCAGTATTAAATTTGTTGTGTTTCTCATGTCTATAACACAAAACAAAAAAATGTAAACGACTATCCCCCAAATTTCACGCGCACAGTTAAGGAACATTTTGATTTTTAACCCCCATCCAAAATTTACAATAAACCCCCTCTTCAATATAAAAAAAGAAAATTACCAACTCAAAATTCTATGAGCGTAGCTAAATGGGTTTTGACTCAGTTTTGAATTTAAACCCCCTTCAGCGGGGTTTGAAGCTAAATACCTCTTCAATATGAAAAAAATGCAAATTATGCACTCAAAATTCTATGAGCGTAGCTAAATGGGTTTTGACTCAGTTTTGAATTTAAACCCCCTTCAACGGGGTTTGAAACTAAAAATACCTCTTCAATATGAAAAAAATGCAAATTATGCACTCAAAATGTTAAGAGCGTAGCTAAATGGGTTTTGACTCAGTTTTGAGTTTAAACCCCCCTTCAGCGGGGTTTGAAGGTAAAAAATACCTCTTTTATATTAAAAACAAAGCAAATTATACACTCAACATGTTATAAATGTATTCAAAGGGGTTTTGAGTCTAAGCTTTCCTTCAGTGGAGCTTAAAGCTAAAAAATACCTCTTCAAACTCAGAAATCTATGAGCGTAGCCAAAGGAGTTTTTAGTTTAAACCCTCCGCAAGCGGGGTTTGAAGCTAAAAAAATACATCTTCAATGTAAGAAAAAAATAAATTACGCACTCAAAATGCTATGTCCGTTGCCAAAAGGAGTTTTGAGTTTAAACGCCCATTCAGAGCGATTTGATGCTAAAAAATACCTCTTCAATATAAAAAAAAAGAAAATTACATACTAAAATTATTTGAGCGTAGCCAAGACAATTGAGGGTTTGGAGTTTAAATCCCTCTTCTACAGATGGCTTTTTTAAAAGTTTAAATCCCCCCCAGATGGTTTTGAGTTTAAAATTTTCCTACAGAGCGTTTTGAGGTGGAAAACCTCAATCTTCAATATTATTCTAAAGCAAACTACAGTTACTAAATTCTATGACCGTAGCTAAAAGGGGTTTCTAATTTAAAAAAACAACAACATAACTCCTGAAATTTTTTAGTTTAAAACCCCTAACAGATTATTTTGACGATAAAACTTCACTTTTCAATATAATATTTAAAGCAAACTACAGTCAATTTATTATCATGCCATGTTGCGTTAACACGATTATATTCAACACATTTCCTAGAATACAAAACAATCCAAGCACTTCCGCTAGAACACAGTTCACTAGCACGTCCATCGCTTTCCAAACATGTAAACTTAAATCAATTAACTGTATAGAAGAGTTATTTGAACTTTTTATTTCATTGAAGGTGATATTCATTGTAGAAATTTAGCGCTAATGAAAAAGAAAATACACAGGATTTGCTGAAAATAAAAAAAAGTAATATTTAGTTTAATGACCGAAAATGGTACAAATTAAAACAATTATTGAGTAGATATTTATTAATGTATTCAAGTAAACGTAACTTAAAAAATATTTTTTTTTTTAAAACTCGTGACATAACGTTGTATTTATGTTTGTTACCAATAGTCGAAAAAAAAACCCCACTAAATATGATATGTAAAGAAGGATAGATAGTAATCCGCTTAATAAAAATAGACAAATATTGTAATAATTGCAGTACATTTCATTCTAAAAGCTGTGACTATTCTTGTGACATGAAATGTAAAACATAAAGCGATTATTCTTCCAACTGGTAACACTTTCAGTAAACATCCTCTTGTAAATAAAGACAAAATGGGAAATGGATAAGTTAACAGACTAAAGTAAACTCACGTGGGTCTTCGTAGTGCCGTGTACATAGCGTGTGGTAAGGAAGAAAGAAAGAACTCTCTAACCATTGTCCAATCGAAACAAATAGTTATAGAAGGCCTGAACACTGACCAGGTTGGGAAGTTTAGACCAATCGTTCGTTTCTAGTTAAGCTGAATTCTTTAGAATATCTAACGCTAACAGACAAATTTGCTCATACATAAGGTGTTTTATGTTGTATTTTACGTAAGATAGAATGTCTAGGCATTCTATAGAATGTGGGATGTTGCACTTTGTCGGTAATATTTAAACAGAGAGAGAGCAAGAGAGAGGGAGAGAGGGAGATACATTCTTACTCTTTTGTTAATATTGGTTGTTCTTCTTCATCTTACTAGTGATCTAACTTTAAAGTGAGAATTTTATCTATAAAATAACAAAGTCCCCGAAATATTTGAATAGTCACTTGAAACATACTTTTAAATTCATTAGGTTTGTTGTATAACTTGTTTATATTAATGAAGACAGAATGAAATGTCTTATGTTCCTCCTTACATATTTATGAAATTGACATTCATTATCAAAAAGCTACCCAATAAAAGCTCTTACTGTTTCTGACATTATTCAATACAAACTACCAACAAAGAAGTCATTATATCTAACACTAGTTAGCCACCAGTCTGCTGGTTATTATAATATTCACACAATAATACATTAATTTCATATTGAAGTTTGTACATGATTATCAATATTTATCCGTCTTTAATGGTAATATGTGTTTTTTTTATACATTCTATCTATTTTTATCAATCAAGTCATACTTGTTTACCAAGAAGGATATTGACATTTGTTGAACAAACACAACATTATCTCTAAATTTGTGGGCTAAAAAAGAATAAACAAAGAAAGCATCCGATTCATTTATTTATAAAATCACATTTTATTATTAAATGTTACTTTAAATGTAAGAAGGTTTACAGGGAATGTTGAACACTGATTAATTTTCAGTTATTATAATAAATGACTCAGATAAAATAAGTATTTTTGTAATTTTATTGTCTAAAAGATTTTAAAAAACAACAAGAAAGTGACGAAGAGAGTTCCAGAAACTCATATTAGTTTGCCGGCATGTCTGTCATAGTAGATCTACTCAGACATTATATCATAGACTTTATTCCCAGATCACATACATCTTGATGTCATGCAGCTTTTCAAAAAGCACTAAAAAATCCACTTTTACTTTTAATTGTATATATCATCTTTCATAAGCACTTACTAAGTTTAAAGAAAACTGTACATCTAGTCATTGCTGTTAGTGATGATAAGGAAATATTCTTTTTATTAACACATATTTTCTAATTAATATTTTAGGTTAATGGCACGCAACCTTTTGGTGCAGACATACAGACATTACGGTTGTGGGGCTGTTTGTTTTGTCGCTGAACGTTCAGACATTAATTTTAAAATAATGTGTTTATAATAAAAACAATTTTTTTTATTTAATGTATTATAGTAAATATTTTACACATTTTCCCTTTAACCTCCCTCGCCCAAAAAGTTTTTAAAAAGCTTTAGACTGTTTCCTAAATCAATATCGCAATTTATGATAAGTCAGTTACTTACCTGATACCTCAATAGTGTCGTGCTATTCCTCGATAAAGTTGAGGTGAGCTGTACAAAACAAACAGGATGACATTCATCTTTTTTATTTTAAAAATGAGTTGTATATACAATAAATTCAATAAATCTTCTACATGTGTGAACAAAAATCGATTAATTTTTCTTACAATTATTTCGATTTGTTTTCAATCAATTAATAGGATTTTTATACATGAAGAAATAACTATAACGAACTAGCTTTTTGGTGTATTTGGTTTACAAAATAAAGGAAGTCTTGAAAAAACTAATTGTAACTTTATATGATAGTTTACGAGATCTAAACGGGACGGACGGACAGACGAACAGACATTTCGCACAAAACTAATAGCGTCTTTTCCCTTTTCGGGGGCCGCTAACAAAAGATACTCAAAAATAGTATGGCACACAGACCTAGTCATATTTTACATTATCGTCACATTCTGGATATCACACATCAGTGTAGAAAAATGAAGGTCTAAGGCATCAGGTAAACACATAACCACTTTTGACCATTCTGGGGTTACAGACTTCAGGCTGACACTAGCCACTTTTAGCCAAAAAAAGGGTCATGAGGAACTATAGGCTTCAGGGAAACCTATGAGCCTACAAGCTTCATAGAATCTTACCTATAGACATCCGTTTGGTAAAGTCCATCTGATGATTCAATACAGGTTGAATCCCTCAGAGAAAGGCTAGAAAACTATGTCACGTTTGAGAGTACCCCAGGATACAGAACATCAGGGTAAAAATATACTGCCTGGAAATCATTTGAAGCTATATCTGCTAATTAATACATTATATAAAATACAATAATACTAAAGATATACTTAGCCCAAAGATCTCTAAAGCAGGACACACTTCTCCGAGTACCCCATGACACACGACCACTAACAGAAAAAATGCTATTCACAACACAGGTCAAGTGGTCAAGCTGGTAACTCATGAGCAAGTGGCAACTAAGCACAGTTTGCAAGGCCTTATATAAACTTCATAAGGGGAATCACTACCAACTAAGTTTCAAGAATTGTAACACGTTTTAGAATCAAAATAACTGCAGTGTGTATAGCTGTTTTACTTTTTTTATTGTTGTCTCCCCTTTAATGAATTCGCCTATCTAGACATTGGTATCGTAGATAACGTCACAGAAATTTGGAGATACGGAACACAATTTTACTTTGACAACTACAATTTTTAATCGGTTCTTATATAAGCATATTTGTTAACATTTATTCGATGGTTATTTCTATTGTTATTGTAATTTCTTGTTCCATAATGACAATAGCAAAAATAAAATCATCTTCAAAAAATATACACAACATTTCAGAGCGTCAAGACAAAAAAAAAATGAAAGAAAAAATATTTGTGAAAATACGTTTATGTATATCTGTACATCTCATAATTTTAGTTCTTGCATCGGCAGGAATTCTCGATTCATTCTTAACAGTAAACAGATTGGTCTATCATTTGTCTATTTGATTGTATTTGTTGTTGATTGCTTCGGAACAGATTCTTTACTTGATCAACTCACCATTTAATTGTATTCTATACGTTTTAACAAGTCCTAAATTTGCTCAGACTTTTAAAAGATTTTTCAAGAAAAAAATGTTACATTGTTTCTGGAGCATTTCATACCCGGAAGCAAATAGAAGACATTTTATTTTTGGTGTATCCGGTGTACAGTATATGAATGAACTGAAAAGCAAAGCATTTTAATAAACCACATTTTCTGAACAGTAGAGTCAAATGTTTTTTATTCTTATTATTTTTATTAATTTTTATTCTTAGTTGACACCAGAGATCTTTCAGTAGTACATACTTGACATTGCTTAGTCTGTTTATTTGTATAAAAGTCTCCGCTAACATTGTTTTTTTTTCATTTGTTACGTTTTTCTTTATGATTTTTTTATAGCCTTGCCATTTCTTTTCATATTGCTTTCTCTTATTTATCAATCTGATAATATTCTTTTGCTTAGAAGATCACCAAGATAGAGACTTAATCTCTAGAAAGTTAGATTTTTACCTAAGTAAATTAGACAGGTTTTCGTTTATATCATTTTTAATATAGTTCAATTTTATCATTTTGAGGGTATTTGTATTTACATGACACATTAGATTGCGTTCTTTCATATTATTGTTTATGTAGCCTGCATCTTTATATATAACTAGAAGATATTGCTTTAATATTGTTTATTTTTATGAGGCCTGCGAGTATACGACCATTGGTTGTATATTTGTTTATGACTTTTAATTGTGAATAAAATTATTATTATTAAACTTTTCCTGCTATGTGGTTTGACATATAAATTTGCAAATATTATTACATTACACAAATAGTGACTATACTTGATTACCTCGGCGGTATAAGAAAGGACCAGCATACCATTTGACAAATGTATCAACACAAAGTAACTCCCTGATCTTATGACCTTTTACTCTTTTTTTTTGGGGGGGGGGGGGGTATGGGGGCCAGATATATATATATATATATATATATATATATATATATATATATATATATAATATAACATGTACTTACAAATTAGAAAAATACGATAGTTAACTATTTATAATGTTTTAAATTTACATTTATACTATATTATACATTACATTTCACTCTTTTACACTCCTAATTGAAGAGTTACAACAAGAATTGTGTTAACTAATTTCACTATCATTTGTTTGATATACTCAGATGACTCTACATCAGATCATTTCACCTGAAATTCAAATATACTGTTTATTTTATGTGAAGTTTTTAACTGTTTTCGCCTGTGCATGTTGTTCTGGAACTGTGGAACTAGCTCACTAGTTCTTATCTTCATGACTGCTTTCACATTACAGTCAGCAATGACCTGTTCTTACACTTTTTTTTTGAAGTAAGAAAATGCTTGTTTACAGAAGTATGTGTAACCAATTAATGTGAATTTTTTAAAGTAATTAATTAAGTTTTATAACATCAAGTCCCTTCATTTCTTTTTGGAAAATTTAAGTACCTTAAGATTTTTTTTAGTTTCTTTTAGTCACTTCCATTAGGGGATCTGAGGGAGCGCTTTCAGCTTCCCAGTTAGGTAAGAGTGGAGCCCGGCGCTAAGCATTATTTCCTGTATTTGAAGCTAAAAAATGCATATTCTGAGGAGTGACTGGTAGTATCACAAAACAATGTGAATTTTTTTTCATTATAGTAGAATAACTCAAGTTTGCTTTATTATGTGGCTTGAATACACGCATATATACTTTATCAATGGGTTCCAGCAACTGGCAGAAAAACCCGATTGCTAGGTTCAGACGGAAACTAGAGTTATGCTTTTTAAACGGCCCCCGAAACGTGGAATGTTTGACGACCGTCCCGTTTATATCTCGTAAACTAGAAAAGATAGTTAAGACATCATAATATTTTAGACCATTCAAAGTTATGCTGCAACGGCTACTTTTTTTTTCTCTGAAAGCGAAAAATCGAATTTTCTAAATCACTTATGCAAGCAGTCTAATTAACAGACATTTTCAAAAAAATAAAAATAAAACATGAGTGATCAATAAAGCTACAATTCATTTAATATCTTCTAATTTTGTAGTCATTTAAAAAAAATAAAAATAAAACATGACTGGTCAAGAAATTACAATTCATTTAATATCTACTAATTTGTAGACATTTTCAAAAAAAAAATAAACATATCTACTAATTGACAACGCTGAGGTTGACAATTATAGTCAAACTGAGTTTAAGTTATCTTATCTTGTAGACTTTTTCAAAAAAATTAAACCAAGCAAAAAGAACTCTGTAGAGTAATTGTAACTAATAAGTTTGTTTCCTTTTAAGCACTTGGCACTTGTCATGGTCA